GTGCAAGGTGAGCGGCGCGGGCGTTGGGCCTCCCCGTTGCTGCGCGCGCTGCCCCGGGCGTTTGTGTGCTTTTGTTCTACGCGGTCGTGCTGTCTTGCTGCTCTTCGCAGTACGCTGCTGCTTTTGGTCAGGTTGTCCTAAGCCTGGAAGACAAAGTCTGTGCCATAACGTAATTTTGGGTCGTCTTTGATTGATCCGAGCCGTAATTGCTGCTGTTGTGGTTATATTGCAACCAGGATATGGAAGGTAAACACCATGCTAGATCTCGTGGAGGGATTTACAAGAATGGAGTCTTGATGTGGGTGATCTGGCATACTTTGGGCAAGGGGGTGCTTGTGGTGCTCTGAGTGTCACTGCTGGAGCAGAGGGGTAGGACTAGGTGATCTCCAGAGGTCCCTTACAACCTCAACCCCCCACAAAACGGGGAGCAGAGTGTTCATTTTTCTTTTCATGGACAAAACCTAGATCTTGGCTCCCAGGAACCAGCAGATCCCGCAGCCGAGGGGACAGTGCTGGCGTTGTCGTGCAGCTTTTCCTGAGTCACCGCGTCGCGTGCCCGTGCCTGCTCCGCAGAGCGGCAGAGGGGCGGCAGCAAGCGCGTGCCTGTGTGCCTCTGCAGGGCTACGTGGTACGGATCAGCGGCGGCAACGACAAGCAGGGCTTCCCCATGAAGCAGGGCGTCCTCACCCACGGCCGCGTCCGCCTGCTGCTCAGCAAGGGCCACTCCTGCTACCGGACCGGCGAGCGGAAGCGCAAGTCCGTGCGCGGCTGCATCGTCGACGCCAACCTCAGCGTTCTCAACCTGGTCATCGTGAAGAAAGGTGAGAGCGGGGACTGCCTCGGGTGGACACGGTGTGGGATGCTGGCCCGAGCGCAGGCCGCAGGCGTGTTCCGAAGGCCCTCCCGAGTTCCACACTAGTTGAGTTACCTTTGGAAGCGCTGCTTCTGGACTGAAGTGCTTTTATAAGTGCCAGCAACGTGTTTGTTCTAAATTGGAAAAGTGTAGCTGGCTATTGCAGTCCTGGCAGGTGTGTGCCAAAGATTGCTTGGTATTCTGGTGAGGTTTTTACATATTCCAAAATAAAAATTGATGCTTTCAAATTAAAAAAGAAGGCGTTTTAGCTGTAGGCTTAACTAACATAGCAAAATTTCTCTCGAAGGTGAAAAGGATATTCCTGGACTGACAGACACAACTGTGCCACGTCGTCTTGGTCCCAAAAGGGCCAGCAGGATCCGAAAGCTCTTCAATCTCTCTAAGGAAGATGATGTTCGACAGTATGTTGTGAGGAAACCTCTGAACAAAGAGGGTGAGAACTCAGGTTTTTCTACTCGTCTTTCTGTGGTACTGAATAGGGATGGCCAGTCTACTGCAGAGAGTGAACCTCGTTGCCTGATAACTCATCTGCTGCTGCAGTTAGTTAATTTAAGGGTTTAGACTTTGTCAGCTGTACATCGTGAATAAGAAGTGAACACTTCTCTGTTTTCCCTCCATTTCTCTCTAATTTCTCCATCTCCTAGGAAAAATACATGTTTTTTTAAAAAATCGGTGGAATATCTGGTTGTATTTTCTGATACTCCATACAGTAACCTTAATTTATTTTTTTTTAGTAGAATTAGATGGAAGAAGAGTGTTTGAATATTTTTGAAACATCCATTTTTGGTGTGATGGTGGTAGGGAATCAAAATACTGATTGATGCGGCTGAGACACTTTTTTTTTTTTCTTTTTTCTTCCCTGTTGTGGCAGTCTGAAATGTGCTTTTCTTTGGAAGTCACTTTTTTTGTTCTCCCCAGTCTCTTCTTGCAGTCCAAGATTCGTTTGGTGTTCTGTGTTAGCACATGATACAGGAGGAGTGAGGAGTGTTTTAGGAGAAATAATATAATAATAGTGCTCGGGCACTGTGGAGAGTTCTGGGGTAAAACTGCTTGTTGGCATGGCAGCTTTGGTGTCATGGGAGCTATGCTGTGTGCTGCAAGACAGTGAAATCTCACAGGTGCATGTATTATTTATGTGAGAAACTTCTAAAGCTGAAAGTACAACAGTCTGCTCTGAAAGCAAGAGGATTGCTTTCCATCTTTACCTACTTCAGGTCCAGGGAAAATGTTGAAGGTGGTCATCTGAGAAGCAAGGGATTCCTCACAAAGCTGCCTGCAGGTGGAGGGCATTGCTTCACAGCAATGTCAACAGTGTTTGTTTTTTTTGCTGTTAAATTCAATGGTAATTGATTATCCTTTCTGCGAAACAGGCCTAGATGCTGAACTAAGTGGTTTAAGTTAGTATAACAGTATTTAAAATAGCATTGCTGTTTAGAGTAAGTGGCACTTGCTGTTCACAGATTGGATAGGGGGTGCTCAGGGCTGTTTTGGAAGAAAACTTGCTTTTACTGATCAGAAGTTCTCTTTAGGCAAGAAACCTAGGACCAAGGCTCCTAAGATCCAGCGCCTAGTGACTCCTCGAGTTCTGCAGCACAAGCGCAGACGCATCGCTCTGAAGAAGCAGCGCACCCAGAAGAACAAGGAGGAAGCAGCGGAATATGCCAAGCTCTTGGCCAAGAGAATGAAGGTGGGTGTTTGTCCTGCTTGGCTATATGGAGTCTGTAGGATCAAGGGATTTGGTGATCTTGACTGTACGTGCACTGCACAACTACATTGTGTGTGTTATGTAGGACATGAGGAATGCTGGAATGCGAGTGTAAGCGCCTCCAGTCAAAAGCATTTTCCTAAGCATTACCGTCTCCTGCCAGTCAGGGGCCAGGCTAACTGCTCTTGCATTTCTGTGAGGCTGGAGCTTGAAGACAGTGGTGCTAGGCTCACAGTGGCAGTTGTGGCTTCACAGTCCTTTGGTGTGGTGCCGGCCCGGGCATTGGGGTGACTGTGGGGAAGCAGGTTCGAACAGTTGGCCTGAGTGGAAAGTGACTTGGTAAAGAGCTGTTGGCGTTAGCTTGTGACCTTGAACATGGAAGGGCAGCCACCGTTTGCACAGCACTCTTTGTTAGAACTTTCATCAGTGCTTTAAAACTTCCTGCCTTCCAGATGGGCAGTGCTCGAAAGCAGATAGACTGTGTTCTGAACTCTGCAGGAGTGCTTTTTGACTGTAGGTTGCGTTACCCTTTAGTACTGTGTTCAGATGCATGGGCCTGTAGAGGTGTGGGTACCTGCAGGAATCTTAACCATCTGGCAGGAAAAGGATACTGGGTTTTGCTTTAGTTACACAGTCATTATTGTAGTGTGTTTCCTTCAAGTTCCATTTATGCAGGGGGTTTGTAGATCTCTTAAAGAAATGCTTGATCCAAGTGCAATGTCTCATCACTTGTTTTGTACTTTTTCCCCCTGTCCAGGAGGCCAAGGAAAAACGCCAGGAGCAGATTGCCAAGAGGCGCCGGCTTTCTTCATTGAGAGCTTCTACATCTAAATCTGAGTCAAGTCAGAAGTAAAGATGCATGTGATGATAAAAATAAACCCCTTTTGTGGTTAACTTTCACCATGAGACTTTACAGTCTGTCTTGTTACTGGTCGTTTGTTAAAATAATCATCCTTCTGGACAAACTTCATTATACAACTACGTTAGGACAGGAATCATTGGTCTTGATTAAGTTCTTTTCTGGCAGTATGTGATCCATGTTCATGCATTTGGTGAAAATAGCAACGTTATAATAGCCTTGAGCATAACATAGTAAAAACCTGTGGCCTTCATCTGATTTGGGGAAGAGTTCAGTGTATTTTTGCACTTTCCTCCTGATAAATGGAACTAAAGACTGACTGGGAGTAAGCCACCTATTATAAGGTTTGATGTTGGCATTTCACTTAAATGTTAAAACCCTGCACTCTTTATGTATTCTGAGACTGTACTTTGAGCAGATCCAGTGCTTGAGAGGGGTTGATGAGAGTGCAGTGGTGATGTGAGGCTGCCTGCCAGGTGTTTGATGTGAATGGGTTGTGCTGAACAGGTTGTCTTCATGGTACCTTTGACCAAGTAGTCAGCATCCATCTCAGTTCTCACCCAGATTTCTTGTTTTCAGTAAAAAGCCTCAGCATGTTAAGTTTTTATCACCACTGGAAAAGTAATGAGTGCATAAACACTTTCTTAGTTTCTTGTGGGCCTAGCAAACCTACTTAAGCCAAGGTCTCACCTGACCTGCTTGGAAAAAAGTTTGCCTAGAATATAGAATCCAGAGTCCTACAGACTGAAAGTTGCAGAACAAGAGCCTGGCTGACAATAGGTTTCAGGCCTAGAAAGGTTAAGTAGTCATATTGAATTTGTAATTTGGATTAAGTGATACTGATGTGAGGTGTGTTGTAAGGACAAGAGAATTATTTTAAAATAGAAAGCAGTTGTTCCAAACTGCAATTTAAATTGTTTCAGTTTGCAGCCTGGAGCTCTACTGGAAAACAAACAAACAAAAAAAACAGCTGGAGCTTCGGTGTGAGGAACAGGGGTTCTGGACACAATCTGGTTTTGCTGTTTGGCTTTGAAATTGTGTCGGCACAAAGTATCTGCAGCTCTAATAGCCTGCACTAGATAAGCATTAAATTCTGTAGTCACAGAAAGGCCAGAGGCAAAAATGCTTAAGAAAGAGGCCTGCACAGAATTTGAGCTCCATTCTTTTGAGCTCCTCTCCAGTAAAGGGGTGAAGCAGCATTGGTGCCTTCCTGAGCCCTGGCCAGTTGCCCATCCTTGTGGAGCTGCTGGGGCTGGCAGGCACCTTGGGGGCTTGTCCAGGCCCCTGCCAAGAGCAGGGTCAGCTACAGCAGGTTGCTCAGGGCTCTATCGAGCAAAGATGTGCCACATACTTTAATTCTCCTGAGCCCTCTCTTTGCCTATTACCTTTATGACCCTCTTTGCTGGACTCATGTTTACCTGCCCTCCTTGCCCAGGGGCTGTGGCACACCATGGCCTCATGCCCACCTCGTAAGGGGAAGATCAGCTCCTTCCCTGTCTGGCAATGCTCTTCCCAAAGCGCTCCAGGGCGCAGTCGACCTTCCTTCCCCTGAGGGCAGGGTGGGTAGCTCATGGTCACCTTGTTGTCCACCAGGACACAAGGGGTCCCCTGTGTGTCCCTCTGCTCCCAGGCACTTGCCCATGGGCCTGTGCTGGTGCGGGGCATCACGGGCCCCAGTTGCAGGGCCAGCTCTTTGCCCTCCTTGAACTTCTCATTCTTGTGCGGCCCCTGCTCCAGCTTTGCCTGTGTGAGGACAAGAGTTGTTTGGTCCTCAGAAAGGGGGAGAACCAGCACTACTAAGTTGCTGGTGGTAGCTTGCGAGTCAGAGAGAAACAATTTCCAGCTAGGCCCTCCAGCTATTACAGCCCCTCAGGTTGCCAGTTGTGGCACAAAAGGAAACGCACTGTTCTTAGTCCCTGCATCTTCCTCGCGTTCATGTTTCTTTAGGAATTCCTAAGGACAAGCTTTGACTCCTGCCTCCTTCCTACCGCACCACTGCATCTCAGAGCAGTTCCCGTTAAGCCTTCCTTTAAAACACAAACCAAACCAGAACTCAGCACCTGCTCTGACAAAGTACAGTCCCAAACCTGTTCCCAGCTGCGCACCCAGCGACCCTTTTCCAGGTCCGAGCAACAAGTTGACCCCACTGAAGGCCGGGGCCATCGCGCTCAGGTCCGGCCTCCCTCAGGGTGGCCGTCAGCTTTCGCCATCTCGACAAAGCTGCTGCTTCCCTAGGGCAGCTCGGCCACGCTCCCTCCCTGGCCCCATCTCCCCCAGCAGGAGGCACCTTCTCTGCCCCAACCCCATCCTCGCCCTTTCCCACCACTCACAATTTCACTGAGGTGCTATAAGCAATTCTCACCAGGCAGTCAAAGAATACATGCTTTGTCTAATTCAGAGACATTCACATTTTAAGGCTAGTCAAGCAGATAATTATCAAGGGCAAAAGGAAGCTGAAAAATGGGAGTTTCACATGGGATTTGCATGTATTTTATTTTTGGGAAATACATTAAAAATTGTTGTACTCTAAGATGCCTATACAGAACTCAGAATACACAGAGTGCCCTTTCAACTCAAGAAACATTTGCAAATGTACAAAAACATTATAGAGCAATACTTGTTAATCAAAGCACAGTAAATGGAAGCGATCTTGCAACCGTTCAAACAATCTCTAAAACAGTGCAAATTTTATTGCATTAATAAAAAATTCCCCAACTCACTAAAATTCTTAATTTATTCACACTACATCCTTTATACCCATTAAAATACAGTTGTATCCCCATTAAGAGAGTTGTATCCCCACTGAAATACAGTTGTATCCCCATTAAGAGTTGTATCCCCAGTAAAATACAGTTTATCTTAAGATCCTTAAAGGAGCTTAATATATTTCTAAAAACAGCAAACAATCCCTTTTATTTGCACCATTGATTGATGCAGACTGAAAGACAAAAAGAAAAATCAGTTACTCTCCTCATATGCATCATAATAAACAGCACAGGAAAAAAAAAAAAAAAAAGGACAAGAGTTCAATTTAAGTGCTGAAACTGAGCTGTTAAGAGTATATGGATGTTATTTTTCTTTTGTAAAAATGTCCATGAGAAAAAGTTCGTATATGTAAGACACCTTAAAATTTTGATTAGTTAAATGAATAAAGGTTAAAAATACACAACCTGTGTTTTTAAAAATTATAGTTAATAAGATTACCTCTTTACCATTTAATGAAATAAAGGTATCTGCATTGATGCAATTGTTAAGAGTTTTAAGGAGAAACTAATGGGTAGATTGTGCAGTTAATTCATTTTTAACAAATTGTTTTAAAATACAATTTACATGGTCTAATTAATACACTTTGAAATATTCTTCTGTGTTTCAGCTAATGAAAGGAAGCAGTATACTCAACAAAAATTATAAGAAAGGTATATTCTTTTAGGTGAGGCAGTTCAGCAACCATTATTTCAGTTACCATGAAATATAACTACTCTTCTACAACTGCAATGTAACTTCTTTTTCCATGCTTAAACAACATGAAAATTCGCTTAGCACAGGACTTAGTTATTTGCAAAGTAAATGAATTTAGTTTTTAAAAACATTTGCTAAATAACACTTTACCATTAAAATTTAATTCTCTAAATTTGAGTTACACAATATGAAGACAGGATACGTCTGTAAGTAACATGCAGATATTACTAGAACATGAAAAGCCAGTATATACTATTGTGCCAATACGGCAATTCTACACATTCTCTTACACATTCCTTCCAAACAGGATTTTGAACTCGATTCCACATTCACTTACAGTTGTTGCATCTTGAGAATTCTAGTACGCGTAAATAAGAAGCTGGACACTTAAGATCCCGATTTTAAACTTTTGAGGTCACATTTCTTGTTTGAGTTCTCAAAACAAAAACATACACACACACACACGTATATATGTATATTTCCACAAGCTACCGAAGCCATAAGGAATTTTTGCATGATTTGACAATAGATACAAAGTATGTCCTCTCAGCATATCTGACTGCCATTTAACATTGTTAGGACAACAGTTCAAAGAAGTTCTCTGTGTACTTGTTATTCCCACAGGTATTTTCTAACATGCTTGGACTTGGATACTTCATAAACTTTTTGCCTACACATACACAGCCAGTTTAGTTTGCACCCTTACTTTGTGCAACCCACTGCAGGTTTTCATTATCTGCAACCATTTTCCTAAACTTTATACATGAGGTTTTTATGATAAACAGAACCACCTACTTAATAATGGCCAGCGAGTCATATGCCAACCAGAAAATCTGGAGGCAAGAGGTTGTTACCAAACGAGCAAAATACTTATTTTGCATCCACTGAGAACTAAGGCTAGACTCATCCATATCAGCTCCCCAACACTCCTGTCCAGCTCAGTTGTGCATCAGACACTCAGGATCCTACGTGTGAAACAGAATAGAAGCATCTGTACTAGAAACCAAGTCCTTCCAAAGGAGTCCACGGATTTGCAGAGAAAAATCTACTATGTTTTTAATAGAATAATAAACACAATGTAAGAGTTCGCAAGAGTTTTGAAGATCTTCCCTATTCATTTTTGGCCATATTTTCAAGGATGAATTACTGAGCTAACCTTTGTTTGAAACAAACAAACAAAATCTGCATACTCTTTTCTTTGCCACGCCCATAATCCTTTGCTCTTTCAAGTAATGAAAGGCTAAAAGTCTTAAAATGTCTAGGTGTAGGAACACCTGTGGTCTCTGCCTGGTTGTAGCAGACAGAAAAGTCACAGGAGGAACAGGAGGTGCATTTGAAAGCAGACACAGCAACACAGAAGTAAACTATGACAACTCTTAATTCCTTTTTTTTTTTTTTCCTCCCCCCCCGCCCCCTTTTTTTTTTGAAGAATCTTCTCAGATTAGACCTTAATAAAGAAAGCAGTATCACTGGTCTGCTTTTGATTAGAATCATGATTTCATTCAAAAACCAGATGGATAAAACTAGGCATTAAAATACAAGCCCTGACTTACGTAGCTACAGCTCTATTAAAAAGTTAATT